CATGACCGAAGTGACCCCCATGGAAAGGAGAGTTAGTAGGTGGGAGGGGAACTCACGACCCAGGAGACACGCAGGTGTACAGGCTGGGGGGAGTAGGGTCCTGGGGGGCAGGATGCACTGCCCGGCTCAGGTGGAAAAGGTGGCATGCAAGGTAGAAGGATTCCGGCCCAGAGGAACATGAAGTGATGTTCGGCCTGGGGGGAGGGTTCCTGGTAGGCAGAGGTGCGTCCGCGAGAACCAGGTGGAAAGTGGTGAACATGCAGAAGGTAGGAATTCCACCAGAGGAACACGACATGCTGTGTTCGGCCTGGAGGAAGGGGGTCCTGGGTGACAGGCAGCTGTGCAGCCCAGGTGGACTCACAAATGACCCAGAATGGCGTAGGAGAAAGCAGGTAATCTTGCCTACGTGATCAAATGTGAAGGATACATGTTAGTAAACAGTACAAAAATAAGCAAAAAAGAAAATGGCTTGAACTAACATGGAGTAGTGAACTGAATAAACTTACATTGTTGTAAGTGCTGTAAATGCATAACGTAAAAGTTTCTCAGGTGTTCGAATGTAAATGCGATAGCAATCGCTAGACCAACGACCAAGAGTTTGTATGAGGTGATCTGGGAGGTGGACGCTTGCAGCAGTAGTTGCAGCTCCAATGCGGAAAGAATGTCCGGCAAAGTACTGTGGTTCAAGTCTCAGTCTAGTAAGGAGCGAACGCAGGGAGGTGGTGAACACACGACGATTAAGTGGTATTCTCTCGGGAAGCAGAAATAAAGGCTCACTTTGAGCAGCATTCATTTCACGGCGGACGGTTAGAAATCTGTACAAAGTAGAAACAGGGCATAAGGAGGTATTGGTGGGGAAAAGTCTTAAGTCAAAGCCCCGCCGGAACTGATCAGTTTTAGATGTTCTGATGTTAATTGACAAGTGATCTATGTGTTCTCCACGAGTTACTACTTTAACATCTCTGACACAGAGGTTGAGGTTTGGGTTGAAACTGTTGGTGGTACAAGCAAATTCGCTACAACGAAGAAAGCCAAAGAAAGCTAATAAAAAGGCAGCTTCCAACATGAGATCAAAGTATGGCCCGAAGACACCCTTACGGAGCAATTCGCATAAGCCTTTCAGAATGTCAAAGGTTATTGGCAAACGTGGTCTTGTACTAGAACCTTGTAGGCGGTGAATACCTCGTAGCACGTGGTTGAGTCGTAAGTGGGTTTGTCCGTTACCAGTCACTAGTGGATTTGGGAGACCTCCTAATATGTAATGGTTACGTATCCCTGCCAGGTAGACTTTGATAGTTGAGTACTTGAGATGAAAATAAGTAGCACTGTGCACCACAAAATAAACCAAGGAATCTTCTGATATGGGTGGATAAATGGCAGGCTGACCTTGTATTCCAAACATTGCTGTAAAACGTAACCAAGCACGGACGCCAGTTGAATAGGATCCTACTGTTCGTTTTCCCAGTGATGCTTGGTGGCATGCCATCACTGCCTGGTTTAACTGAACATCACTACGGAGGGAATTTGGCACTGGGTTGGTTCTGCTGTTCATATTTGAGTGACACATACATTCAAAGCAGATCATGACCGAAATGCACCTGCATATGTACAACACATTGTACTAAATCTGAACAAAATCCATCCATGCATGACTGAGATCTGGTTCCGGAATTGTGAAAATATGTGATTTTAATGCATTTTCGGTCTTAAAATGGCCATCATTCAGCTATTGTTAAGCGGATCATGAAACAAATGCACATATCTATTTGTGACATGATGCACCATGTGTGTGTGAAGTTTGAACTTGATCAATCCAGACATGTCTTGGATACGGATCCAGAACTGAATTCTTTAAGAAAATGGCCGCCAGTCGGCCATTTCGAACTTGATCCGGGAAAAAAAAAAGACGTGCATCAAGGTCCTATTTTGTTTAATGTAAGTACCAAATTTGAACGAAATCCGTCCATGCATAACTGAGATCCGGGTTCAGAATGGTGAAAATGTGCGATTTCAATGCATTTTCGGCCTTAAAGCGGCCGCCATTTGGCTATCGTTAATGGGATCATGAAACAAATGCACATACATATTTGTGACTGATGAACT